AGAGGAAGAAGACGAAGAAGAAGAAGATGGTGAGAGGGGGACGACCGACGGGCGACTCCACGACACTGGCGATGGGCGACGGGCGACTCCACGACGCTGGCGATGGGCGACGGGCGACTCCACGACGACGGGGGAGTGTACCTCCCAGGCGATGGCGACAACGGGCAGCAGGAGGAGCGAGGGCAGCTGAACCTAGAACGCAGGCGGCTGGGGAAAACCAAGGCCCTGTTTGGACAGCCGATGCAGGCCGCCCCAGCCAGTCGGTTGTTCAAACGGGGCCTCGTTTTTCCCTCCAAAAATCAAACGGCCCTCTGGCCGTCAATCATGGATGATCGACGGCCGGAGGGCCGTCACAAATTCAAAAAAAAAAACTGGCCTCACGGGCCCGACGCGCCGTTTTTTGGGCCTGGTCGGACCCGGTAGGCCCTGAGGATGCCACAACTCGGCTATTCGGGGTCGGAACCCCCCCCCAACAAGGTGTGCTGGGGGTGCCCGGCCCCCAACCGGGCCGCCCGCCCGGCCAGGCTGCCCGAGACCTCCCCTGGGCAGGCGCTGGTCGGTCGGGCGGCCCGGATCTGTACTCAGGTATTTTTTTTCTTTTTCTCGAATTTTTTCTCGAAGTTTTTTGCAAAGTTCAAAACTTTTCTTTTTTGATTAGTGGCTCCTTATCTGGGTGATTAATCCCACCCACCCCTCCCCACCTATGTTGTTGCCCCCTCTGGTCGTATCTTCTCTATCTGTCTCCGGGTACCCCTTGCGGCGGCATTGGTGAGTTGCCACGTCAGCAGACCACGTCAACAGGCCACGTCAGCAGACCACCTCAGCAGGCCACATCAGCAGGCCACGACAGCCAGCAGCAGTGCCATGTCAACAACAGGGAGCACCACGTCGGCCTATGCTTTTGCGCTCACAAACAGCTGTCATGGACCAGAAGTCCGGGGAAACAGACGAGGCCTACCAGGCCCGGATGCTGCTTCTGATTATTGAAGTTAAGCAACGGTCGGATGCAGTATCAGCCGCAGCAAAGAAGGCATAGGACGCCGAGAAGGCACATCTGCTGGCAATTGAACAGCAGCGCCAGCAGGACGAGGCAGCAGCAAAGGCTGCCGATGAAGAATGAGTTCAACGTCGCGAGAAGATATTCAGCGAAGAGCAAGTTTTGCTCACAATGGCAGCGGATTGGCAGGCCGAGGCAGAGAATGGCAAGACGGAAGAGAGTGAAAACAAGATCGCTCTACTCCTCTCCCATCTCACGGACCTCCTGGCAATATGCATTACACAGGACATCCACAGCCTCAACGACGCGCTGACTCAAGTCCACAGCCGCCTCTGGCAGCTGGAGCAGCGACCCATCGCCGCCCCCGATGCCAGCTCTTCCAACACCTCCGATCGCCTCGAGGCATTGGAGATTGACGTCGGCTCCCTCAAGGACGGCGTGCAGTTATAGCAAACCGCAACGCAACAGTTGGAGCAGCGGATCTGTACGGCCGCCAACCACTCAAGCTCGGAACCGCGCGAGACAACTCCAAAGTTCGATGGCCAGGAGATCTTCTGCGACTCTATGAAGACAGATCCAATTTCATGGTTCCGCAAGTTCGAGCTCACACTGCAGCTACACTACGTCAAAGAACACAAGCACCACGGGTACTTGTGCTCCCGGTCGGGGGGCACGTGCCAAGCATGGTTGGACAATCTCTTGTCCAAGTACGGAGTGGTAGCTGCCGACTTGCATACCAAGATCAGCGGGGATGATTTGAAGGCGGCGTGGCATAAGCGGTTCCAAGTAGAGCCGCCGAAGATGAAGGCAATGGACAAGCTCATGGTCTTCGAACAAGGCACACTGCCTTGCCGAGTACCAACGCTTGACATCCGTCCCAGACATTCAAATGGGCTTCAAGGCCATTAAACACTACTTCATCTCGAGGTCGTGTCCGGCGTTGGGCAATGCCTTGACTCATGTCGAGGATACTTTGACAACACCGGCGGAGCTCTTCGACAAGGCTGCGCAGATCATTATCACGAACGAGGAGGCCAAGAATCTCCTGTGTTCGTTTGGGCCAAGCCTGAGCAGAGATCAGCATCGGCTGAAAGTGGCCGTGGTCACGGCGGCAACGCCAAACGACCAAACTAACGAGGCCGTGTCTACCAATGAAGGGGACAGACTTGCAGCCGGCCGGGAAGGTGGCCGCCCCTGCAAAGGCCGAGGACGTGGCAAGGCGAAGACAAACACCACATCTAGGCTCGGCCCGGCGCAGCAGCTCCAGCCCCATGGTCCCATTACGGTATCTCCGAATCGGCGTACAAGGCACGCACGAGATTCCGCTATTGTCTGTGGTGTAACAGCGATGAACATGACACAATCGCCTGCTAGTCGAAAGGCAAGGACAAATCGGGAAACTGAGCACCGTCGGGAGTGACTCGACGACACTCTCGACGCCTTTGGAACCGGTCGCTTCGCGAGTGACCGCCCTTCGTTACGAGGCACATGCGGAAGTTGATAGTCTTCCTCTTCTTTATTCTTTTGAGGACTATGCTGCCCGACTCGTTCCTACGCTGGGTACTCATGCTCAATGACACGTGTGTGCGGCATCTTCTCCGTCCGGAGCGGCGACTTATCGTTTTTAAGTGGTTCTTCACGGGATTCGGCGCGCGAGTTAAACATAGAGGTATTGGACCCGCTCACGTCCGAGGATTTCGCATGGCTTCCTCTCCCGACCACGGGCTGCTTGCCGGGACCGCAATGTGCAGCACTATGCACTCATCTTCACACATACTTATTCTTCTATGCACCACCAACTTCGTCGACGGATGATGAAGTCGTGGTGGGGGACATCCTTACGTATGTTACCAAGGTGGCTTGCGAGTTTCACAATCAGCGGTACGACGACAACAACGCACCGCTCCTTTGTGTCCGCATCCAAGTTGGGCAAGCGTCCTGCAGCGCTTTGCTGGATAGCGGCACGTATGAGCCAATCCTTTATGCAAAAGGCTGGCCTTGGCGCACAAGTTCGAAGGAAGGCAAACCCGACGGCGATCAAGTTGGGGGACGGAAGGACGCAGCAACTTCTCGACCGCTACATCGAGGCCGTACCGGTGTATTTCGCACCTCATGCATGCGAACCAGTGACATTTGACATTTTGGACACGGACTTCGACATTATTTTGGGAATGCCTTGGCTTGCAAGTGTGGATCACGCGGTCAACTTCCACCGGCGGGCTCTTACCGTTCGCGACGCCTTCGGCGCCTAAGTGTCATGTACTATTCCTCTGCCGCACCCTTCGATTCGGTGCCAAGTTGTGACGACCAAGTTATTCCGGGCTACTTGTGCTTACGAGCAGCCCGACGAAATCGGCCTATGTTTCCTACAGACCGTCACGGTAGGCGACTCTTCACCCACGAACTTGTCTTCGTACCCCTGTGTGGTGCGGTTGCTTGACGAGTTCACCGACATCTTCGAGTCACCTACCGGTGTGGTGCCGGATCGGCCGATCTCTCACGAGATCATTCTTGAGGCCGGTGCCGTGCCGCCGAAAGGTTGCATTTGTCGCATGAGCGAGGAGGAGCTTACAGTCCTCCGTGCGCAACTCGATGATTTGTTGGACAAGGGCTGGATCCGCCCTAGTAGCTCTCCATACGGAGCCCCAGTTCTCTTCGTACGAAAGAAGAACAAAGATCTACGATTGTGCATTGAGTATCGGAAGCTCAACGCGCAAACCGTCAAGAATGCGGGGCCTCTTCCTCGCATCGACGATCTTCTTGAGTGATTGGGCGGCGCAAAGTATTTTTTTCTAAGTTGGATTTGAAGTCGGGATATCATAAAATCTCGATCCGACTGAACGATTGTTACAAATCCACGTTCAAGACGTGGTATGGGCATTTTGAGTGGGTGGTCATGCCTTTTGGCCTCACCAACGCCCCGACGACCTTTCAAACGGCAATGACCAACGAGTTTCGTGCAATGTTGGACCGGTTCTTGCTGGTCTTCTTAGACGATATTCTCGTCTATAGCCAGTCATTGGAGGATCATCTTGAGCACCTTCGACGAGTGTTGGAGACGCTCCGCCGTGCCAAGTACAAGGCCAACCGCGACAAGTGTGAATTTGTCCGGCAAGAGCTGGAATACTTGGGCCATTTTGTCACACCGGAGGGCATCAGTCCGCTATCGGACAAGATTCAAGCCATCCAAGAGTGGTCGGAGCCACGGAACGTCACAAATGTTCGTTCGTTCCTTGGCCTCGCCGGCTACTACCAGCGTTTTATCAAGGGCTACTCGAAGATTGCGGCCCACTTGACCAAGCTTCAATGCGAGGATCGGCCGTTTGACTTCGGAGAGGATGCACGGGAATCATTTTTGGCTCTCAAAGCCGCATTATTATCTGCGGAGGTCTTGCGCATATACGACCCGCTTTTGCCTACACGCGTCACTACGGATGCGTCCGGCTATGGCATTGGTGCTGTCCTCGAGCAACACGATGGCGTGGATTGGCACCCGGTCGAGTATTTCAGCAAGAAAATGCCCGTCGTGCACTCCATTGACAATGCACGCAAGAAGGAGCTCCTCACCTTCGTCCACGCGCTCAAGCGGTGGCGGCGCTTCCTCCTTGGTCGAAGCCAACTCCGATGGGTAACGGACAACAATCCGTTGGTCTTTTACAAGACCCAAGACACCGTCAACAACACCATCGCTCGATGGATGGCATTCATTCACCAGTTCGACTTCTTTCCCGATCACATTCCGGGGAAGTCGAACCGTTTTGCGGATGCTCTTTCACGATGTCCAGATCATTGTACCACGGTCTATTCAACCTTCGAGTTCAACAACGACCTTCGGGACAACTTCATCCACGGCTACCAAGCCGACCCCGAGTTTCGCGACAAGTACTCGAATTGCTCCTCTCCTAATCCGGCGCCTTCTCACTTCCATATCCAAGAGGGGTACTTGCTTGTCCACACACGGAGGAAGCCCCTTCTTTGCGTACCGAGTGACCCTCACTTGCGTACACGGCTTCTTGGCGAGTTCCACGATGCTCCTGCCAACGGACACTTTGGAGTCAATCGCACGACTGGCCGATTCCGCAGGCGATTTTGGTGGCCCGGCCTTCTCGGCGACATCACACGCTATTGCGAGTCATGCGAGATTTGTCGACGCTGCAAATCCCGCAACCATCGTCCATACGGCGACTTGCGACCATTACCGGTCCCCTTGCGGCGAAGGGAAGCGATTGTCATGGACATTAACGGCTCGTTCCCCAAGCACAAGACCGACGTGGATGGGATTCTCACGGTGGTCGACCGACTCACCAAGTTTGCCATGTTTTTGCCTTGTCGCTATCATGCCAAGGCACCGGAGTTGGCCGAGGTTCTTTGCGCCAGTTGGATTCGAACCAAGGGTTACGCCAAGGAGATCGTTTGCGACCACAACATTCAGTTCATGTTCGATTTTTGGTTGGCGCTCATCAAACGATGGGGCTCATCTCTCAAGCCAAGTTCGGCTCGCCACCCTCAAACCGATGGCCAAACGGAGAGGGCGCATCAAACAGCACAGGTTCTCCTCCGCACTCTTATCCGCCTCCACCAGAAGGATTGGGTTGAGAGGCTGTCGGATGTCGAGTTAGCCTACAACTCGTCCATCCACCTGGCTATCGGGATGTCGCCCTTCGAGTTCGAGCATGACTCGCCGGTCACCTCGTCGTTGGACACAATCATTCCACGAACGGTCGAGAGCGACGACCATCTTCTTTTCTTGCGTCGGATGCAAGAGCTACTTGTCAAGGCACGCGACCAGATAGCCAAGACGCAGCAACGCATGAGCCAACAGGCCAATCGCCAACGTCTTCCTTGCCCATTCCGCGCCGGTGATCTCGTTTGGGTTTCGGCCGCGGAATTCAGCCTTGGACAAGATATCTCTAGCAAGCTCCTCCCGAAATGGATGGGGCCCTGGCTGATCGTGGCACCCGCCGAGGTTGCACCTGAGGGACCTTCCTTCACCATTCAGGTGCCCGCCCACTTGCCCGTCTACCCAGTCTTTCATTGCTCCAAGTTGGCTCTTTACACGCCAGCGGAATATGACGATTTTCTCGGGCGAGGTTCGCAAGACCCACCCTCTATGGACGGTTTTCACGAGGTCGGCGACATCATCTCCCAGCGATCGCTACGACAACAGGGCAACCGAGTACTTGGTACACTTTGCGTACTGCACTCGCAAAGCTGACCGTTGGTTGACCCGTGCGGAACTCCAAGCAACAGCTCCGGACGTTCTCACACGCTACGAACACAAAATGCAAGGCAAGCCGGTATCTTCGGCTCCACGTCGCACCCGCGTCCAGGTTCCACCTTCAGATCGTCAGCTTCGCCCTCGACCCGGCTTGACTTCATAAGGAGGGGGGGGTGTTACATGCTGCGCTTGCAACAGGCTGCACGGGCCATTTCCAGGCCCGTGACGTTTTCAGGCCAAAAGCTTGAAAACAAGGGCCTACAGACCTTGTGTCGTTTCAGCCTGAAAGCCTGAAAACAACGGCCTAAAGGCCTTGTGTCGTTTCAGGCTAAATCAGGGCCTTTCCGGCCCTGAGTGTTTTCAGCCTGAAACTGAGGGCCATTTTCGGGCCCTCATAAGACTGACCTGACCTGAAACTCAGGCACCAGACCAGGGTTTTAGCTCAGGCCATTTCTGGCCTATTTTCAAGACAACCTTTGTTTGAGCTTCAACCCCAGGGTCTGTCACGTTGAGGCATTGGCAAGAGCAGCCTCCTGGATGGGCCAGCACTATATAGGACTGGGGCCGGTAGGTAGTTCCTAGGTACTTCCCAGGCACTTCACGTGCAGTTCAGGAGCTAGGATGTAGTCTTCAGGATTAGGCAGCAGCACTCTGGAGGAGCGCTGCAGGAGTAGTAGTAGCGTTAGCAGTAGTCTTCAGGGTTGGGCGCTAGTAGCGTTAGCTGTAGTCTTCAACGCTGGGCGCCATAGCAGCTAGAGTACTAGAGAGAGAGAGATTGGGCGGAGGCCAGAGGGACTTACCTGCAACACCATTGCTCATGCTTCGTCTTCAAGGTACCTGGAGCCTATGTTCCACGTTGGCCGCGACCGGGCTCGGCCTAGGCCGGGACCCCCCCGGCCGCGGCCGGTCCGGCCGAGTTTTTTCGGTCGCGGCTTCGGCCGAACTGGGGGGCGGTTTCCGAAGCGTGGAGCGGGTTTGAGGTGGGGGGGTGGGGGGGCACCCCCTCAAAGTGACAGAGCGTCAAAAAAATAAAAAACGGGGGGGTCCTGCACATGGCCCTGGAAGGGTGGGCCGCGAAAATTCGTGCGTCCCTCGCGTGCGGGTTCGTCGATGCGGGGTCGCAGGGAAGAGGGTCTGGAACATTAGAAAAATAAAATAAAAATATTTGACCCCTGCGGGGGCGGCCCAACGGGGGTTGGATGAGGGCCTGGTTGGGGCGGCCCGTGCGGCCAGGTCGGGTCGAAGCTGGGCGGGGCTGCAGATGGCAGACCCTAGGCAGATCAGGGCCTTAGGTAGGCGTCGATTTCATTCGTGAGGGTGATGATAGTTCGTGACATATTTTGAAACAACACATTCATGGCAATCATAGGTCATACCCTAGTTGGCATACCAAAGTCACAACACATTCACAATCAATCACAGTGCGGCCAACCATATGTTTTAAACAATATTAACAGGCAAGTGTGTCATAGTGTGTGTTCACTCATCAGACTGGTGGAAGGTTGTGTAAAAACACATTCATTAGCACATCATCCCTATTTGGCATCCGAAATTAACAGCACATTCATAATGGAGGCATCCATGACATGCAGGTGCGTGGCATCGGAGAAGCACATAATTTGCAACAATTACGACAACAAAACAGAAACCACTCACCAAACAACAGCGACTTAGATGCAAAACCAAGGTTGGAAGAGGAACACGAACAAGAGCAAATAAATGACAGAGCATTTCAATGGAAATGCGTATGTACAAGGCTGAAGCCAAAAACTGGACCCGTCGTCTCTACCGTAAAACCGAGTAGCATCCACATACTGTCGTCGTCTCCATGGAACAACATCGACATAAATATGCAACAACCCGGCCGACAGAGCGTCCAGCCACGCAAAAAAAAAAACACTAATGAAATAAAAAAAAACCACGGACGTCGTCATCTCCCTCCAGAGCGCGCGCGGCCTCTCCCGGAGGACGGGCGGCCATGCGGTCCTCCCCGGCGCCCTCCTCTCCTTCCGGCACCTGTGCCCTGTGCCCCGCTGAGGTATGCCGCCTGTGCTGCAGCGGCTGCCGCGGCCACCTGTGCCCTGTCTGCGGGGCGCAGTCTCGATCCGCTTGGACTCTGTGTCTGCGTCCTCGTCCTCCGCCGCCCGTGCAGCAATCCCCATCTCTCTCTCCCTCTGAATCGCGTCCAATGCTGCCTGGCCAGCGGCGACCTCTGCCGCGAGTCGAGCCTCAACCTCCGAGAGGCCGCGCTGTCGTCTCGTCCCGGGACACATCAACAACCCCTCCTCGCCCGATGTGTACTGCTGTCCCCGCAGCCTGTCCGTGGATGTCCCTGCGGCCTCAAGGACCAATGATCTCCTCGTCGCCGCTCGTGACAAACCGAGTATGCGGCCTGCCATCTGCAGGCTCGGACGTCCGGACCCACCCTCCGCAGCCAGCGTCTGAACTGGCGTACGTCCCGCGAAAACGCCCCTCCCGCCGTCGTAATCCGCCCACAACCGGTCCCCGACCTGACGAACAGCTGACCATCCGCCACCCACACCACCTCGGACTGTCGGCGGGGAACCGCCACTGTGCGGAACTTCGGGTGCTGCCGTCTGGTCCTCGGCGTCGACGCCAGCCTCCGGAGCCCGTGCGAGCGGTGGAGGCATTGATCCTGCACTGTCTCTGCCGCCCTCGCTGTGTCTGCCGGACCCCGCCTCACCCGCTCCGGACTCCCTCCCTCTCACGCCGCTGAGCCACGAACCCGACCATCGAGGGCTCTGCACTACGAACGGCGGCGGTGAATATTCCCCTCGAGGGGGCCGCCTCTTGTCGCTCCTGCGGCCCGTGTGTGCGAAAGGGTCATCCGTCAACGCTTGCGCCAAAGCGTCGACGTCGAAGAAAGTGTGCGCTAAGTCGTCAGGGCGCAAGGGAGGTACTGTGGGGTCCCTCAACACCAAGGCAAGCCTATACGCATCGTCCTCGGGACCGTGGTCGTCGTCATTATCTCCGTCCGGTCAATCATCTCCCCCAACACCCACGGTATCCCCATCTCCACCGGGTCTACCCTCTCCCCTGCCACACACGGCGGCACCCTGTCCCTCATCACCCGCGGTCTCGCCGTCGCCATGTCCTCCACGAGGGGACCCACCGCCCACGGCAACATCCTGCCCCTCATCACCTGCGGTCTCCCCGTCGCCACGTCGTCCACCACCTGACCCACCACCCGCGGCGGCATCCTGTCCCTCATCAACGAACTCCCCCTGAACTGCCTCCTTAGGGACACCCGAGTCGTCGACGTCACGGCCTCCCCCCCCTCCTGTCTCCAACTCCCTCTGCCGACGTTGCTCCTCAAGATACGCAGACCGACCCTCCCATCCTGGCAAACTCCGCAGCCGCTCCTCCTCCTCTCGGTCCAAACGGGCATCCCCCTCCTCCTCAATCTCAACACGGCCCCGCACAACGTCCTCGCCGGTGCGCACCTCCCACGGTGAGGCACGTCAACGTCCCTCGACACTAAAATCTCCCAAGCCCCCACCAAGTCCTCCGACATCAAAGTCGTGTGTGCGGAGCTCCGACGGCGAGCGGGGGTGGATACCGGCATCGGAAGGAGTCTGCCCCCCGCGATCCTCGCCGTCATGTGTCCGGTCTCTGCCTGCTGTCGACGCGAACCTCTCCGAACACCTAAGTGCCTCGGGCTGTGCAGTGCTCGGATGATGGGAGGGAGAGAAGCGACGATCGCGAAGGGCACCTGCTCATCCTCGGCCTCCTCCTCGGCCTCGCTGTCACTCCTAACCTCCCAACGCCTGCCTGTCTGCGGAAGGGCTCCCCGTGGCTCCTGCTCCCCCGAGTCATCGACGCCAACCTCCGCATGCGAACGTCCTCCACGACGACCACCGGCTCTGCTGCTGGCACTCGCCTGTCCGGTCGACGACACATCACCAGTGATAACTGATGTGAATGAAGCCATGCCGTCACGTCTTCCACCGTAAGTGAAGTACACCCGCTCAGTCGTCGCGTCGCCAGTCATCGGCGCGTCATTGTCGCCTGTCCACTGGTCGTCGATGTCGTCGTCTCCCGCATCAGTGTCCGCATCATCCCCACCCTCCGGCCACGGTCGCAGCTCCGTCGCCCTCTTGCTGAACACGTCCTGAACCGAATGGGCTCTGGACGGTCGGCTGTCATGGAAAGCGACAATCTGTCGCTGGATGTCCTGCTCGGGAACACTGCCAGCAGGTCGCGCTCCCCACACCTCGGGTTCCACGTCTCCCTCCTCATCCTCGTCCTCTGCCGCCGTCCCCTACCGACCGGTCCCCATAACCCATGGCAACACGTAGCCACCACCCTGCCATGCGCACGAGGCCAGTTTGAGATTGGTGGCAATCTCAACCGGCTGTGCAAGCTTGGCAAACCCAAGCTTGCAGCGCCTCGCCGTGTTGATGCGCTCGTGCTGCGCCCAGTTCCTCTCCGCTGGAGGGGCAGACGTCCACAAGTGCATGACACGGATGGCGATGGTGCGCAACTCCGGGTGGGCGCGTCCATGGTCAAACCACCACGCCGCACAACGCTCGGTCTCGCGGTCCCCCCTGCAATCGTCCGCCTCGGCATCGGAGAGGGACCGATCTCCCCAATCTCCTCGCCTCGAGTGGAAGTGCCTCATCTRSTCCCTCACRGTCCTGTAYAGTYWGCCGACCGAATCRCSGCCGGTCTGCGCCAGGAGAAATCTGTCGCACTCCTCGACCACACGGGCGTCATCGGCGATCGTCTGTAACGACTCGTAATACGTGAGGGACCGTCGACGAGGGTTGAGGAGGTGGGCTGCGGCATGTGCGGGCTCTAGCATGTGGAGGTTGCGGATGGCAACCTCACGCACGCACGGCTCGATCATGTCCGTCGTCACGTCGACCCTCCTCATCAACCGCAGCACATGCTGACTCCACTTGTAAACGACGGACATCATCATCCCCCCCCTATCCATCCTGCGACCCACTGCGCCTGCGATACAAGCCTGCGCTCCCACGGGATGCGTGCCCAAACATCCCCGTGCAACATGCTCTCCAACGCGTCTCGTCGACCTTTGAGACACGTCAGCATCAGGAAAACCGATGCGAACCGTGTCTCGACGGGCTCGACGAGCTGAACGCGAGGGCTCACCTTCCTAAATAGGGCGTGAGCAGCGTCGTGCGATTTATTACGATTTAATAAATCGCACAAGTGCTCGAGCGCGGATGATGGTGTCCTTGACCCACCCTACTCGCGTCCCGATATCTGACGACATCAAGTTGCGGACATGGGTGGAGCAAGGGAGCCAAGTGATCCTCCTAATGTCGGGCTCGGGGTCCGTGGCGAATCTGCGCGCTGCCACCGTATAGTTACTGGCGGAGTCTGTGCAGAAGCCGATCACGTCCTTTGCAGGAAAGGACAAGATGATGGCCCGCGACCTACGGTACACGATGTCCGCTGTATCTCGGACTGACCCATCACGTGCGACGGTGGCGTATAGCAGGGTGCCATTGGCGCCCCCGGCGAGGAAGTTCATGATCGGCTTGCTGCTGCGCGACTTCCTCCCGTCGGAGAGGATGGTGGCACCAGTGTGCCGGAAAGCGTCGCGCACCTCGCTCACCATCGTCGCCACCTTCGCCCTCTGCGAAGGGATCCCGGCACCCGCTGTAACCCTGTAGGAGGGAAACCGGAACTGGATAGTGCGAGGCACTCTCTCTGCCGCCTGCCGCACCCTCTGGAACTCCGGACCTGCAGCCACGCGTCTGTGAACTCGGCCAACTTCTCCTCGTCGTACATCTCCTCAATCGTCGTCTGTCGAGCCCTCTTCTCCCTGCCCGTGTCTCGCACCTCGACGTCTGCCTCCCCCACTGCCCTCTTCTCCCTCCTCGCGCGCTCCAACTCAGGTCGCGACGACCTAGGAGCAGGACCCCCTCGATCGACGCCTCTCGACGTCATCACCACCTCCTCCCCTGGCAGGTCAGGCTGTCTGACTGCCTCGTCTTCCTCGTCTGCCATCCCCCCCTTCCCGATCCCACCCTCACGGCCCTCCTCATCGAGGGCGTCCTGAATCTCGTCCCTCTCTCCGTCGTCCATCCGTTGTTGCTGGCCACCCGCGGGCGCTCTCGTGTCCCGTCCCCTCATCCGCCATCCACTTCTGCACCCGCTGAGCAGTGGACGGCACGAATGTGTAGTCCGTGCCGTTCCAGAGTTCCGCGAGAACTCTCATCCCCCCAGCCTTGCAGTACTTCGACTGCGTGAAATGGCACGCGGCCTTCGACGACCCTCCCTGAAACAAGGGGCCGCATAAGTTGCAACACAACTTTCGGTCCCCATGCATCTTCGAGTGGTCCCCGACGTACTGCCCCGCGATGACGAAGCTCCAAACCAAGTTCCCCCGCCTCAACTTCGCCATTTCCCTCTTGGACAGCGGGATGAACTGGGCACCTCCAGACCCCCCGCACCGCTGGTCCGCGCACCCCCCGTCATTGTCCCCCCACTCGAATCCAACAAGCCGTCGCGATGACCGTCGATGTCGTCGGACGGTGTCGTACCGTCGATGCAGTCCCTGACGTCTATGAATCCCCCTTGGCGGCGGACAACCACGGCCAAGTCCGCGGCCCCGGCCAGGCCGAGAAGCCCGCGGACGCATCCGCGCGGACGCGCGGCTTCGCTGCCACGTGGTGGCCGCAGGGAAGGATGTTTTTCAGTTCTGATTGCGCTACGTGGCGTCGCATCCCCGGCCCCGCCCCCCCACACAAAAAAAAAACGAGAAAGATGAACTTTTGGTTGGGGGGGGTGAGGGCGAAATCGAAAGAAAGTGAAGAAAAAAAAAATGCGTTTGGGCGAAATCGAAAGAAAGTGAAGAAAAAAAAAATGCGTTTTTTTTTTTTTTTTTTTTTTTCATTGATTGGTTGATTGATTGATTGGTGGGGGCGGGGTCGCCCCTCCCCACCTTTGATTGATTGATTGATTGATTGATCCTTTGATCGATTGATTGATTGATTGATTGATTGATTTCGTCTTTTTTTTTTTTTCGTTGATTGTTTGATTGATTGATTGATTGATTGATTGATTGATTGATTGATCGGTGGGGGAGGGGTCGCCCCACGATTGATCGATTGATTGATTTATTGATTGATTGATTGATTGATTG